CCCTGGCTCACAGGATGGCGCAGACCAGGACAGCCACGTTCCACAGACAGCGCAGCCACAATGTGTAAGAAACCGACTGCTTTAATCGAAATGATCCCCCTGCCCCACACAGGTAGAAAAGCCAAGCCCTGCAGAAACGGGGAGGAGACGGGGTCACTGCTGCTCCACCCCAAAAAAGGGCCCGAACTGACAACAGGGGAAGTACAAGTGGTGGGGAGGTGCTGTGGACCAGACAGGGATGAAAGTTCACTAATTCCTCCAAAAGTGGGTGTGCTGGCGCCAGGGGAAGCGCCGCACTCCCGCACGGCCCTGCTGGGCGCTGCCGAAGCTCTCGGGGCGGCTGCTGGTGGGACGGTGGTGTGGCCACGGGCCTGGCCAGCCCCGACAGGCCATCGTCCTCCACGGCACCCAGGCAGGGAGCCCGCTGGGTCTCCACAGTGCAGGGAGTGAGGCGACAGGGCAGGCGTGGCACAAGGGCATGGATGAAGGGCTTGTCACCACACGAGTCCTGGCGCAGCGCCGTGTCCCTCCTGTCCCTGCCCAGGCTCCCAGCAGCTGGCAGAGAAGTGTCCTCCGGCCCTTAAGTGGTTTTTCGCTTCTTGGCCGAGGGTCTCTCTAAGACGTCCCGCACCCCTGCTGCTTTCTGCTTGAAGAACTTGGTGTTCTGTGCGCTCTCCTGGCCCCAGGCAGAGTCGAAGGAGGTGGTGTCCTGGTCCACCAAGTGCGTGTACTTTGTCCGCCCCGAGCGCCCAAAGTTCTTGACCTGGGGAGCAGAAAAGCTTGTGAGCAGCTGCTCAGGGAAGATGTGGGGACCCTCCGCTCCTCCCAGCCCAGCGCATGAGCTCCCGCCACAGAACCCCGACACCTCGGGGTGGCACACGGGCCAGGCACCCTCCAGCCAGCGCACCCACCTGCATGACTTTGGGCAGGATGGTCTTGTTGAAGTGGTCCTCGAGGGTCGGGGCGCTGAAGTCCCTCTTGTACACCTCCTCGTCCTCGTCCTGCAGGAGAAGGACACGCCTGCTCAGCCCACAAGTTTCCAGCAGTGGAAGAAGTTGGGGAGAGCCACCAGAAACCCCAATCCCTGCTCTGCCAGGGGCTGCCACAGCACTCGCGGTCCTATCGCCCTGCTGCTGAAGGTGGGGACACGAGGGTTGTCCCACGCCCAGGCCCTCGCAGCAGCGCTCACCATGAAGAAGGCGCCGCGGTGGTAGTACTTCTGCAGGAACTTGTATTTGCCCTTCACCGCCTTGTTGGTGATGACTTTGCCGTTGGCCCGAAGCTCAGCGCGGCGCTCCTCCTCCGTCAGGTTCCGCATGCGCTCGATCTCCGCCTTCTCCTTCTCCATGCTGGGCAGGAGAAAAACCTCTCAGACCCCGCGCCCCCGCAGCACCCTCCTGGGACAGCTCTGTCACCAGCTGCTGTCCCAGGGATTCTGTTTACTGACTGGAGGGCAGCAAAGGCAGCCCGAGGCAGGACAGCCGCGCTGCCACCGGGAAGCATGAGGAAGAGACACCTCAGCTGCCCGCGGTGCTGCAGGCTCAGCCTTGTCCCCACGCAGGCGGTACTTACGCTTCTCGTTCTTCACGGTCCCGTTTGATGCGCTTCAGCTCACGCACTTTCCAGGCCTCGTACTCCTCCTCATCATTCTCATCATCTGTATCAAGTGCGTCCAGCGCGGCCAGCGAGCGCTTGTTCTCCTCCAGCTCCTTCTTCGCTTCCTCTTCCACGAT